AGTAACACTATTTAAATGAATGAAATATAACTTTTTTTTTTTTTTTTTTACTTTAAAGTTAAGTTCAATCTGTGTAACACAAAATGTTGCCATCATTTTTCACAGATTTTTTTTTTACAGTGAATGTTTTGTAAAAGCAATCATCTTAAAATCTCACCATCCATGGCTAAAGGATCCATAAGCACCATAAACATTTGGAGCCCACCCTTTTTTACTAACCGTACACACTGAAGTTTACCTAAATCACCAGGGTCACAGTGATTAAGATGGGGGAGAGTCACAGGCCAGAGCAGTCATATACTGACTGAATAAATCATCTTACATAAACGCAGCCATGGCAGGACCGCCAGCATGGTGTCTCTGTCATCAGCATTCTTATTTCACACTCGGTACAAAGAGAGCAAGCGATCCTTATTTATTCTAAAGCACCAGCCTGAATGGTAGAAATATTCATTGTGTATAGTGAATTCTGTTTCAAGTTTGTTTTTCATCATCAATGCTATTTCCCCCCCCCCCAAATTCCCTCCAACTCGCTCTCTCTGTGATCTGCCCTGTCATCTTACTCACTGAATGATGTAAGGAGTATGCTATGGAGGATGTCCAGAGCTTTCATATACCAAGGCTATATCCTATAGGGACGTGTGGATGAACGAAAATAACAATACCCTGCTGTAAGATGTAAACTTATTATCATAGACAGAAACCGTATTTTCCATCGTGAGTCCATTTAAAGATTCACTTGAGACACTGTTTCATTTGTTGGCCTCCCTCCATCCCCATCCCCATCCTTACGAATTAGTAAACAACAAGAACGAACACGAACAAGCCAGGAAACTGAAAACAGACAGCGGACGATGAATTGGTAAAGAAAATCAATTGCCTCGAATTGGACTAAAGCGGGTGTAGATAAAGACCGTTCTATTGATTTTGGAAGTGTTCTACACATCAGAACGACACATTACCCATACCTTGGAAAAATAGGCATAAACTCCAGTCGCGCTTTTCTTGATCAAGTTATTTTGCAGATCAATTGTCTGAAAGTGCTTAATTTTTTTGGGCAATATTTGTGAGGGGTTCTATTATAGAGGTAAAAGCAAGATGGAGCTCCATAAATCACTCTTGGGTGAAATGAATCACGTGCACGTGCTAATCAATGTTATCCTGCTTCATCTCCTGCGAGCAAACACAGCTTTTACAGGGCCATTGTCGTATCAGGTGACAGATAGCTCTGATCTAATTATCATACAGAGCCTACTGAAACATTTGCATACAGGCATCCTCAATCTGAGAACTCAAAACTCAAACTATTAAAACTGTCAAAGTGTGAAACTTTTGATAAAAAAGGAAAGTTTATTGCTTGCTAAAACATCATATTTTAAAATCTGTGTGTTTGAATGTAACATGACAACTATAACAACTGCCATTAAAATGTTTTTTTGTTTTATGTTTTTAAATAAATAAAAAACCTCTCAGACAGCCTTTCAGATTTAATTAAAATGCCCATGATAAAAACAACAACAAACATGCACGCTATATTTTCCATTCAGTTGTGATGTGGCTTGTTGTCAAAGAATTTCAGCAAGTCAAAGGTCATGAGGCCTTACTATCATGTAGACTTTGGCAAACTACTCTGAGCCCAAACAAAATTGTGAGCATTTTCTAAGCCTTTGCTTATTAGGTGACATATTTCTCAACATGCTAACATTTAAATGATAAGTTTGTGTTTTAAAACATGTTGTAAGAGGTAGGCACCTATTTCCTTCAATCATCTTTAGGAAAATCCATGTTTTGCATCAAATCCACGTTTAGAAATAATGTATGAGGGTTCTGTGAGTCTTCAGTGAACACCCAACTGTTCAGAATCCAGTATAAATCCATAGAGAACCACATAAAGTGTTATTCCTTTAAAGGGGTCATATGATGTTGCTCAAAAGAACATTATTTTGTGTATTTGGTGTAATGAAATGTGTTTATGTGGTTTAAGGTTCAAAAAACAATTTTTTTCCCACATACTGTACATTATTGTTTTTCCTCGATGCCCCGCCTTTCTGAAACGCTTTGATTTTTACAAAGCTCATCGGTCTGAAAAGCAAGGTGTGCTCTGATTGGCCAGCTATCCAGTGCGATGTGATTGGCCGAATTCCTCAAGCGTGTGACGGAAATGTTACGCCCCTTACCATATTGTGATGCCTTGTCCTGGCACGACGAGACAAAAATATTAAAAGCCATTATAAACGAGGCATTTGTTGCATCCAGTGGGGTCATAATTACTGATTATAATGACTTATACTGTCTTTTTACGCGCTGCGTTGTGCCGCGTAAACATAAAACCATGTCTGCATTTGTGATCGGAGAAATGACAAACAACAAGTGCTACTCTACACTGCTCAAAACTCGCGTTTGAATCATCAGTGGCAAATCCTTTAAATATGAAAACGTACTTACAGTCTGTGAGTCAGAACAGCCGGCATTGTAGTCTACTCTCCCAGGATCAGGAAACAGTCCTCCATTAAATGCGCTGGACACATCTGAATATTTGGGTTGAAGTGTTCTGGAACAGTGTTGTAAATACAACTTAACCACTGATTTCTAGTCGTGTCCTCTTTTGGAATGCCAAACAAAGTAGTTTTGCTTTCACAACGAAATACACAGCGTCACACACGGGTTGTGAGACGCTGTGTGAGCTAGAGTGAGCGGAGGCCGGCTTGAGTGAGGAACGGCCGGAGGGCTTGAGAATGGCGTGGTCGGCGGATTCGACGAAGGAGCGGTGAGCAGGCTTGCGGCAACCACATGTGACGACCCCAGGCTGGACTCTGCTTCGTCCACGGTGAAAGCCGATCCGGCGATCCACAGCGCGAAGTTGATGTATTTCCTCAGCGACCAGCACGGATCAGCTCTAGGCATGACGAAGCGGATATCGTCCTCTTTTGGAAGGCCAAACAAAGTAGTTTCGCTTTCACAACGAAATACACAGCGTCTTCACGACATGGCGGCAGCAACAATACTACAGCGAGAATAAAAGTTACGCCTTCTTTCTTTGCGTGAACATTTGGGCGGCGTTATGCAAATCTTCCCACATCGTGACGTAGACATGTGGGGGCGTGTTAGAACGAGCCGTTTTAGGTAGGCGTGGTTGACTCTTAACTTTTATAAAGAATATCTCTTTGGATTTGAGACTTTAGTCTTTGCAACTTCACAGATCTTCTTTATGCACCAAGAGCTTGTATCACTTCAAAGAGAAAGGAAAAATTGAAATCGCATCATATGACCCCTTTAAAAAGGAGAACTGAAAATTGCATATCTTTGCATCCAGTATGCTATTAACTAACATCAACTTAATAAACCCATCTTCCAGTTTCCTGGAAAAATCCTAACATCAGAATTATCAAAAAGGATCACATAAGAGGTCTACTGTTTGTTATATGGCCTAAAATCCAATCAAAGTCCAAGCAGAACACCACAAGACAATCCATATACCGAAGACCACAGTTGCTCAACCAATATTTGCCAGACTAAGATATATTACAGTGTGTCAAATCCAGCAATTTACAGGATTAAAAACTGCATAGCCTCAAAGACTGGAAAGAACAAACATTAATATATTTTTTTGTAGTCATATAACAAAATAATAACACTGATGCATTAAAATACCATCTCACACATTTTAGAAACCCTTGCAACAATTGTGGTTCTTCCTCAGAATAAAATCTGAAGGAGAAGTCCAGAATGTATCAATAATTTACATAATGTACAACAACTTTAATCAATCCACCCAGAAATCTACAGGCGCCTGACATAAAAAGGGCTCAAACAGAGCTACAGTCTGGAACATGTTCCCACACTTTTTGATCATTGAATTTCCATGACTTCTCCATTACTTTTTCAGTCATCCTTGATTACTGGATAAGGATTTATTGAATAATTTTATAGAGACTGTGCTCACAAAGAGTGGTTTCTAGCATTTTTTTTTTTTTAATATTTAATAGATTTTTTTAATACATAACTAGAAAATATATATTTAGATTGTATTATCTTGCATGACTTTTACAGATCAGTTTATATTCACAAATATTAAATATATCCACACATATTAAAGTTAACATCTCAGTTTTAAAAGGCCTGACATCAAAATACAGTGAATGCTGTAACAAGGTACAAAGGTGCAACAAAGCAACAAAGAGAGACGCTGTCATATAACCTCTGATATAACAAGTACTGATAAAAATAGATGTTGCATATACATGCTGAAAATTATTGTTCAGTGTTATCTCTGAAAAAAGGCCTTGAAATGTAAATAACTAAGGACATTCAGCCACTCCACAAAACAGATGGACAGTGAGCACTGCATAAAATGTCAACCTACTTAAACTTAATTTTTCAGTTTAATTGCTACCTTAAATTATGTAAAATCATCACATCACAACCTGCAGTGATGCGGTCATTACACGTTTCACTCATTTGAATTCAATTACTGATGAAGACTATCAAGCTGATAAAAAAAAAACTATTAAAAAAGTTATTATTGTGGCAAGTTATATGGATAGATGGAAACAAAAATTCAAACATTTTTACAGTAGGTTTTTGCAGCTTAAATGGCAACTGCAATACTTAAACTTTCCTCAAGAAATTTTATTAACATCTTTTATTCGAATATTACCTTAAGCATTAAAAACAATTATAAACAACACTATCGCGTGCAGTATTACAACGAGCCATATAAAACTCACGCGTTCATGTAGGAGACTACATGAACCATAAACACGTAGAAATAGCATAATACAAATGTTTTGATATGATAAAAAAAAAAAAAATCACTTAAATGTTGCTTAATAGTTTAAAAAAGTATCCGGGCCAATTTTGACAGCCATCATCCACGCGCATCCACGAAAGTCAGTCTACAGCGTAAGTCTGTAGGGGTCAAATAGCGCGTGCATATTCAATGCAGATCTGTTCAATTAAACGCAGAAATTAGATAAGTCTTGTTAATTTCCCTCACTCACCTCAATGCTGAGGAGTCGAGAGTAGTCCTGCTTTCGATGTGTATCCGCTGAGCGCTGTGAAGACACTGTACTGTGTGGACTCCCTGTCTCTCTCTCCCCTCCCTTGTGCGCAGCATCACCGCTCTCTTTCTCTCTCTCCCTCTGAAACCTCGTGCGGTCTAAGCGACAGAGCCGCTGATTGGCTGTCACTCGTAGCGCGGTGACTGAAAGGGATCGTCAACATTAAGGGATGCGAAAGTAGTTTGAAAATGAAGCCTGCGGTATATGATATCGTCGCGTCTGTTCAGATATGTGGGTCACTGCTATTAACTCTCTACTTTGATTCGGTTTATCATTTATCTATTTTTGGCCGTGGAGGGAAAAGGCAGAGGCAGATTTAAAAAAACAAAACAAACAAACAAACAAAAAACCCTGAGTTTATGTGGCTTTTAAAGGGATATTTCACCCCAAAATTACAATTGATTTACTTACCCACATACATTAGTGTTATTTTAAACCTGTATGACTTTCTTTATTTTCCGAGGAGCTCAAAAATAGATTTTTTTACATCTCCTTTTGTGTTCCACTGAAGAAAGACAGTCATACGGGTTTGGAATAACATGAGGATGAGTAGACCCACAAGACAGGGTTTTCTTTTTTTGGGTGAAACATTGGGTCCTGAACATGTTATGCGAGATGAAGAACAAGGTTTTTAGTTCATTTTTCAAAGACTCTGACTTGGTGTCGTAAATCTATTGACCCCGTGTAGCTGTTGTGTGCATGAAGCCTACCATTTCACACTGAAATTTTACTGCTGATTTTATTTCTGCTGAGAATCAAAACCCCCTCAAGAACCCAGCCTGACTTCTTTTACACTATGATGCTTTAGCAATTTTCTGATTAGTGATAAAATAATTACTGATGTATGATCTCTGGTTATAGAAGCAGCTGTACAGTTAGTCTCCACAACAAAGGGAAATGCATCAGGCCTCCTACTTCAGAAGCAATTTTACTATTATGTTATGTTCTTGGCATTCTTGCATTAAATGGAGCTCTAAATGAATTTTCGGGAGGTGCATGTTTTTCTACTCCTGTCAGTCATAAGAATATATAAACAGCTGCTCAGCTCACTCCCATGACAATTGTTCTCTGGCATCTTTTTATTCTGTTGTAACTTTACTGAATATTAAATTATGTAGGGGAAACAGCACTTTAGCCCTCCATTATGGACAGCAAGCCAAGTCAGTTTACTCTATCAATGCAACTATCAAGGATTAGATCAGGGGCCCCAAACTCAAAAGACCTAGCTGGATACTGTTGTCCATCAGGAGACAAATGTTACACAACCATAAATTTTATCTATATAAAGTTACTGACTCATTTATACAGTTAGCTTACAAACGGGCATAGGCCTATGTACAGTCTTGTTGGTTATTGTCAGCTAGACTAGGTTTTTTTTTTTTCAGGTTCCAGGGGCCACAATGTATTTTTAGGGCTGTAAAAGTCACACATTTATGTAATCTGAAATTCACTGTTCAGAAAACAATGGATTTTATATTCTACTGTAAGAAAACATTAATAGAAGGTAGAAAAAAGATCACTGTTAACATACAAAGTATACTATATCTCCATATATTATGTGGACTGTGACAATATGTAAACTATAAATGAGTTATTATACATGAAAATATAAATCTGAGAGTGGCTCCTCTCAAGGGGATTGTCATATTTGGGGGTCAAAAAGTTTGAAAACCCCTGAACTAGACAATAAGTGCTTCTAAAAGAATTAGAAAGGTGTTCAATGCCTAAACTATGCTGGAAAACATGTACAGGTATATACACTGTAAAAATTATTTTTTAAAGATGTAAATAAAACAAAGATTATTGGAGTATGTTTACTTCAAAATGTTGTGTTATTTCAACGTTACTTTTATCTTTGTAATTATTTGTGAAATTTACTAGCAATTTCTGAATGATTTTCTTTTTCCAAAGTAAACACAACATTGTCTTTCAGTGTACCGCTGATCAGAGGTATAGACCAAGTGTTTGCAAAAAGTGATGACGTTTTTTTTGTGGGTGGAGCCTATCTGGTGGCAGAAAATGCTAGTTTTAACATAGCAGTCTATGCAAGGCATGGAATAAAAGAATAACAAAGGTAATTTTGAGTTTATATTTCAAAATTCTGACTTCTTTCTTCAAATTCCGAGATTATATCTCACAATTCTGGTAAGAAAAATCAACTCATCATTCTCTCTTTTTCCCTCGGTTCAGAATCATGAGTTTATAATCCCATACTTCTGGCTTTTTTTCCTCAGAATTGACAAACTCGCAATTGTTGAGTTGAATTAAGTTATAAAGTTCAAACTAGGAGATAAACTTGCATTTGCAAGAAAAAGAAAAGTCAGAATTGTGAGATAAAATAGGTAAATGCTAGGTAAAATGTTATAGGTTTAAATAGTATTTCATGCTTTAACTGTAGGGCTAATACAATATGTTCCCTATATGTGAATATTATATAGACCTATTGTTTAAATTAAATTTATGCTTTAAAAGTAGGGTAATCTTAGCAGGTTTCATCCATAGTTTGTCCGTTTAAATGTCTGCGTTTAGCTTCAAATGCCGTCTTTGACAACAGTATTATATAAAAAATATTTGCATTCCGATTCTGACATCCAAAGGCATAACAATACATTTGTTCTCTTATTCCATGGATTTTAACCATTTCCCTCCATTTGTTACCAGTGTTTTTCTGCCACCACAATGCGCGCACTGCTGCAAGTGACGTAACTGTGACGTCTACTCCAAATTAGTCTATAGGTTTCAGCTTAACAAACTTTAAGACAACTATAGATAACATTAAATGGCAAACTTAAATGCAGAGTGACAGGCTTACAGTCTGTATTGAGTGATAAACCATTCAAACTTGAAGGGACAAAAAAAAAAACTGTCAGATTCGGCCCAGTGGACCAGTAGTTTGAGACTCTCGAATGAGACATAACTTGTCAACTGAGTTTGTTGTGATGACTTAAATAGTTAGCTATGTATTAAAAGTCAAGCCCTGAAGTCAAAAGCCACATACCATGTTCAGTCATCAGACAGACACCCCATGAAACCTGGTCACACTTTAACGAAGCAAGCCCCCTTCCTGTCGAATCCAACCGCTCTTAAACACAATGGGAATTCCTCTAGGCCTGATGATGCCTCATTAGTGGGTCTGTTAGTGGAGGCACAGAATAAAGCTTTTGTTTCACCAGATTTATGACTCCGCATTTAGGAGCAGACTTGAATGATGTGAAATTTTTATTGCTTTGCTCACAAGACCCTGAGACATTTCACAACATCAGAAGAAATTCTAAAAATTGTCTTCACAATTTTTTTTTTTTTAAAGAATGACCAAAACCGCATTAATAATTCGAATTACCAGGAATGTGACAAGTGTGCTCACAGGCATGATGCTCAACTCTGGAAATGCATGCGTTTAGACACACCAGCTGAATTCCAACTGATGAAATCCTGACATGACCTAAATGCATTCTTTGACATGGCTGATGCACATTCCACTTGACTGCTGACAAAGCAGAAAGTCTTGCTCAAGTCAGCGTAAATAAATCTACAAATGCTTGTAGTATGTGTAAAAAAATGGAAAAATGGGAAAAGAGCATATACATTGTCATACACTGATAAAGATGTACATGCATGTGAATTAAAGAAAGTGTGTATATAGTGTATAGATAATAATACAAATGGTCTTGACTCCAATAAACCAGTATGATACTGAAAATTCTCATCCTTGCTGTCTCCAGTCTCATGTTAACAGAGATTATGGTTGTAATGTGAAGATGAATATAAATGTGGTGACGGAGGACGGAACGATAGCGCACATGCTTTATGTTAACAGCCAATCACTCAGCAGATGTTTATGTTTATGTTGCATTAAGTGATATCTAATCTAACATGGATACAACACACACTCCATCACACATTAACGATGAAAATACCATTAAGCTGAGTGTAAAGAAACTGAGATTAATCTAAAACTAGCGTGTTCATTTGTTTTGCAGATTGGAAAAAAATTTAAATAAATACATATACCCCATCTACAATGTAAAAAAAACTCTGTTGTTTCATTTTCTAATCCAGGTCTGCCAATATGAATATTTTAAAAGATTTCACTGCAGCTTAGGACAGCAAACGATAATCCGCTTTAAATCAGTAACAGCATATTGGCTCAGGGTTATACCTTATACCACCCAAGACCGAGTCAAGGAGCAATGGATGCAATGTAAAATAATAAGCAGCCCAGATATGTCATGCAATGCCTTCACTATTTCAAAGAAAAGAAAATATGTGCATGGAGCAAACGGCAGTTTGTATAACATACATGATTATGCTGATGACACATCCGAGTCTTCCTGTCTCTATGTTTCCGAATGCAAGTGTCTGAATTTATTTTAATGCATGTGGAAACTTCAAGGGCATCTTATTTGCATGTCCTGTAAGGCTGGTGTGTTAAGAGATGAGCTGTAAAGTATCTATTACCTGAGGATTCAAATGTGAGTCATTGAGGCCTAAGAGAGTAGTCCCGTGCGCTCTTGCTGAGCATGGAAAATCACAGGGTTTGACCCGTCTCCGCCACTGGAATGTGATTTCCACCCTCAGCAAGAGAGCAGTTCCCAAGGACCCAGGGCAACATCACTACAGCAGGGGAAAACAATTATTAGACGTGCTTCTCAATAGACTTTGTCATGTTGCATTTATAGGGCTACTGTCATGGGGAAACAAGAGCGAAAGAGACAAACACTGGCCTAAAGAATTCTAGAAGGACATACAAGCAAGTGTGTGTGCTTTTAAATAAAACTACCAAAAAAGAGGGTTACTTTGCAATAATGTACAATCTGTAGCATTAATTAATGCATTGGGCACACTGTAAAAATTATTTTCGAAGTTGTAAACAAAACAAAGATTATTGGAGTATGTTTTACTACATCTTTTTTATGTTTAATTCAATGTGTTATATGCAGTTTCTTTGTAAGTAATTATGAAATTTCCAAGCAATTTTTAAGTCAAATTGTTTCTACACCATTTTTTTCAGTGTATAAAGAAATAA